TTCTTCTTATAATTGCCTCATGCTCATTTACTTCTCAAATAAATAGGTGGGCTCTTACTCACCCTCTGTCTGTTGAAGAACATCAGAAGTCGAAGGAGAAGCAAATGAAGCCACATTTTTTGGATATGGTTCCTTGGTATTCGGGGTATACGCTCTCTCTATGTCTCTCTGTCTCTCCTCTCTCCTCCTTCCTTTTCTTTCTGTTCTTGTGCACCGGGGAGCTGTACTCACTTTGCTGATGTTTGTACTGCAGAACATCAGCTGATTTATTCAAGACTGTCTTTGACCTCTTGGTATCAGTAACTGTCTTTGTTGGCCGCTTTGACATGCGTATGATGCAGGTAATCTCATAGCTTCATGCTGTGTAAACTGTATTCTCCCTTTGCTTTGAGATTATTCTCTCAAAATTTTCAAAGCCTATCAAATGTGCACTTGAATCATTTCGTCTTTTCCAATATACATGGTACCATTCAAGAAATTTTTTTTTTCATTAATTTGTTTTTTTTTCATTAATTTGTTTTTCCAAAGAAACCACTTTTACCATTTACTACTTAAATTTTTATGCCATGATATCGTGACATTTATGTTTCCCTCTCCACTGATCAGGCAGCAATGGACAAGGTCCATGATGGAGCTGAACAAAAGGATCTTTTATATGATAACTTTGTTGAGAAGGATGATCTATGGTTTGACTTCATGGCTGATACGGGCGATGGTGGAAACTCCTCTTATTCTGTGGCTCGGCTCCTTGCTCAACCTTCCATTAATATTAACAGAGATGGTTCCATGCTGAAGTTACCACGTGGAGACTTGCTACTTATTGGAGGGGATCTTGCGTAAGTTGACATTCTTATTTGAGCATATGGCATGGGTGATCAGTGATTAATATTATATAGATTTTTGTTTCATCCTAAATTATAAGTGATGATTTGTATGGTTCCTTCTCTGATTTAAATTATTACTCTAAAGTAGTTCATCAGTTGTGTAGACATGGTATGAAACGAAATAAATTAAACTTTGAGTCGCAAATTTCTGTTTACACTTAAAGGGTAGAAAAATTCCAAATTTTGTTTGACTGGAATTAGTGATGGTACATTTGGTGGCTATTTCTTTTTGTTATAGATTTTTGCAGGAAGTGGTTCTCTTCAATGCTAAGCATGACAAGGAGTACTTAAATTAGAATAATCGTAATTTGGATTCCATAATGACTACTCCTGGAACCGGATTGATCTGAGATTGAATGTTCCTGTGTAAGTAGAGTTTTGTGGACTATGTAAACTGATGTTTGAGGTGGGTAATGTAATTTCATCAGAAACTTTAATGAGTAAGCACTATGACGACCGTATTGCTCTGTCCTGGTCCAACTTGACTTTTCTTTGCCACCATTTTCTCTGCCTACACCATTTCTTTGACCAGTTGGACATTCGTTAGCTGCTCAGCTGGTGCTGTCTACTTTATTCCCTAGTTGAAAGAAAGACCGTGTTGGAACCTTGGTTAAGATAATGTTAATTTGGCTAAATACATGAATATGCCCATGATGTTTGATTTGAAGATTCCAGTAAAGTTTTTGTCGATGTTTTCATCATCCTTTCTGACCTATGTTTGTCATGAGCACTTCAACCTCTAATTCATTTCATTGTTTATTTTTGTTTTTTTGTTTTGTTTAGGCATGTATATCTCTGATAATGATAGTTTATCATGTTAAATATCTATTAATCTGCTAATTTGATATGTTTAGGTATCCTAATCCATCAGCGTTCACCTATGAAAGGCGCCTTTTTTGTCCTTTTGAGTATGCTCTCCAGCCTCCTCCATGGTCTAAACAAGAGCATATAGCTGTAGATAAGCCTGAACTACCTCGTGGTGTGTCTGAACTGAAGAACTATGATGGACCTCAGTGTTTTGTCATTCCTGGAAACCATGGTTCGCCTTACTCTTAGCCTGAACATCTTCGTAAAAGCTATAATGTTAATATGGTGTAGTAAATATTCTTTGTTTCTTTTTGCAATTACAGATTGGTTTGATGGACTTCATACATTCATGAGGTATATATGCCATAAGAGCTGGTTGGGTGGGTGGTTTATGCCTCAAAAGAAGAGTTATTTCGCTCTGCAACTCCCTAAAAGATGGTGGGTATTTGGTTTTGATCTCGCACTCCACGGTGATATTGATGTGTACCAATTCAAATTCTTTACAGAACTTATTAAGAACAAGGTATTTCTTTTTTCTTTTTCTTTTTAATTTCAATATGGTCCACTTAAAGTGGTACCCATGGTTTGTCAAGTTGTTTTTACATTTTGTGAGTTGTTACTTTTGTCCTTCGCTTTTTCTTTTAACGTTTTGGAGATGTGCATAATGGGGTCCAGTTTTTGTAAATACGGTCCTTTTAATTGTTTCTGTGGTTCGCATTACACAAGCAAAGTATTGGTAGGGGATGAGACAGGTGGTTTTTTTTTTTCTCCTTTAATAGTGAACTGGGGAGGATTGACACTAGACTTGTTATGAATTCATATATATTTTCTCCCCATTTATAAATGTAGAAATGTCGTATATTATGTCTCTAGAATTTGAGGGTTTCACCGATGTGATAGCTACCCCTGTTCGTGATGCATGTTAGTTAAACCTACATAAACTATGTATATGCTTGCCAGGGACACCATTGAGCTTTTTACTTTGCTTACTTCTGATTTTCCAAGTTTCGAATTTTGATTTTTACTGCAGTTAACGTTCTCATCTCTTCATGTTTCTTCCAGGTCAGAGATGGTGACTCTGTAATCATTATGACACATGAACCAAATTGGCTTCTTGATTGGTACTGGAACGATGTTTCTGGAAAGAATGTTGCGCACCTGATATGCGATTATTTAAAAGGGAGATGTAAGCTTCGAGTGGCTGGAGATTTGCATCATTATATGCGTCATTCATTTATTAAAACAAATGGTCCAGTTCCCGTGCAACATTTAATCGTAAATGGTTGTGGTGGGGCTTTTCTACATCCCACTCACACCTTTAGTAATTTTAAGAAATTTTGTGGAGTTTCATATGAGACCAAGGCTGCTTATCCTTCATTTGAAGATTCAAGCAGGGTTAGTATCGGTTTTTAACTTTTTATGAGACCAAGGCTGTCAATACTAAATTCACATTTATTTATTTATTGGTGCTAACTGGTAGTTTTTCTTTTTCCAGATTGCTCTGGGAAATATTCTAAAGTTTCGAAAGAAGAACTGGCAATTTGATTTTATCGGTGGCATTATATACTTCATATTGGTCTTTTCTATGTTCCCACAGGTGAGTCTTTGATTACTTCGTTGCTGTGTTTTTGCTTCCTTAGAGAACTTGCAAAAATTGTTTCATATTTGCTTATCCAGTGATGCAATTATGCTCTGTTATTTTGAAAATTCTAATTTTTCCTGTTTTTGTTTTGTAGTGTAAGCTTGGTCATATCCTACGAGAAGATTCATTTTCTGGTCACGTGGGGTCTTTCTTTCAAACTGTGTGGAATGCTTTTATGTACATGCTGGGACGCTCTTATGTGTCTTTAGCAGGTGCTGTTCTGCTGTTAATTGTGGCAGTTACATTTGTCCCCTCTAAAGTGTCTCGGAAGAAACGATTGATGATTGGAGTTCTTCATGTGTCTGCGCACCTGGCTGCAGCTCTAATACTTATGCTACTGTTGGAACTAGGTGTTGAGATGTGTGTCCAGCATAAACTACTGGGAACTTCAGGTGAGCTTTTATTATCTGTTATGGGTTTCTGTCATTCTCTGTTGTATTTGTTCGTCTGATCATATTGATTATCCGATAATTTTTACCATTATGGAAATTATGTTCTTGATTTTGTGTTATATGATGTAATTTTTACTTTTCAGGCTATCATACTTTATATCAGTGGTACCGATCGGTGGAGAGTGAGCACTTTCCAGATCCAACTGGCCTTCGAGCTCGTATAGAACAATGGACTTTTGGCCTTTATCCAGCATGCATCAAGTATTTCATGTCTGCATTTGATGTTCCAGAGGTATGGAAAACTCTTTGCAAACTCGTTTGTCCTTTTCTTTGTTACATATTGACGACGGAGTAACATCACCAGGTTATGGCTGTCACCCGAAACAATATATGCAAGAATGGGATGGAATCGCTATCTAGAGCGGGTGCTGTTATATATTATGCTTCCGTCTTCCTTTATTTCTGGGTCTTCTCGACTCCAGTGGTTTCTTTGGTGTTCGGAAGTTACTTATACATCTGCATTAATTGGCTCCACATACACTTCGATGAAGCCTTCTCCTCTCTCCGAATTGCTAATTACAAGTCTTTCACCCGATTCCACATCAACAGTGACGGTGATCTTGAAGTTTACACTCTCGCAGTTGATAGGGTAAGAAAGCAATGTTCAATGCTGGTTCACTTTCCGATAACATACTCAGGCCTTTCAAAAATTAACATCTGAACTAAAACGTGCAGGTCCCGAAAGCATGGAAGCTAGACCCTGAATGGGATCGGGAGCCAAAACAGCCGGAACAAATGAGCCACCTTAGAAAATTTCCCAGCAAATGGAGTGCAGCAGCCGGTCAACAAGATCCGTTACATACTGTCAAAATCGTTGATCAGTTTGTTATTCGACAAACAGATAAAACTGATGTTGGAGCAAGTGATGGATCAGTAATTAGCTGATATGCGCTTTGCTCTATTTGTAATATTACCGTAGCTCCCTTCGTTTAGATAGCAATGAATGAAAAGCAATAGGAAAAAAAAAAGAAGCTTGAATTGTAATATTTTGCATCCTGAACTTTTTACCCGCCCGATTTGTACAGAAACTTGGTCGCGCGCATCGGTTCCGGATTGAATATGGACAAATACCCATCGGTTATGGGTAACCGCGGTTATCAGCCCATTTAAATTTTACAGTTACAGTTATGGGTAACTATTTAGATAATTAAATGGTTATGGGTATAACTGTTTATCCGTAAAATTTAAAATGGACGGTTATAGGTATTATTAACCGCAATTATAACGGTTATCCGTTTATTTTAATAGATATATAAAACTAAAAAAACAAAAAACCTCTGTAACCTGGTCGTTCTCTCCACCAGGAGGCCAGCACCACCCCGTCCGCCACTTGTCTCTCTCTCCTGGCTGCTTCTTCTCATCTCCGCCGCTCATCTCTCTCTCCTTGCTGCCCTCTCTCTCATCGCTGCTCGGCTTTCTTCCCTCGTTGCTCATCTCAATGCCCCATCTCGATCTCCCCCCACCCACCCTTCAAGGTGTGTTTTACCCTTCAAATTTCTTACTTAACCTGATTAATTACTGATTTGTTTGTTAATTTATTGAAAATCTATTATTTTTAGGGTTTAGTGATGCAAGGTATTGTTTAATTTTTTTGTTTGAAAATTAGGGAAGTCATATTAGTGATTGAAAATCATAAGACTGAAGACTGAATATTCTGATTGAAAATATTGTGTAGACTAAAGTCTAATTTTTAGAGATTTGTTTTTTTATTCAGTGATTTTTTTGTTGCATAAACTGAATAATCAGTAATTTTGATTTTCAATTAAAATTAGGGAAGTCGTGGAAGAAGAAGTCTGAATTCATATTTTTATATGTTCTAACTATTTCTAACTAATGGGTTTCTTTTCTTTCTCCTGATAGTATTGTCCATTTGTCCTGTTTTTTAACATGTTTTTTATACACTTATGTAGTCGTGGAAGTTAGTCCTTTATATCTTAGAAAAGTTTGAATTCATGTTCTGCTTGTAAAACTAGGTTGATATTTGTAAAACTAGTTTGAATTCACAATGGATACAAATGTTCTGCTTGATATTTTTACATTTTTAGAACTTTGAAGTCTGAATTCATGTTCTGGGTGCTGCAAATTGCTATAGAAGTATATCCTAGCCAAGCGAAAAAAGGTACTAAAATGAAACTTAAATCTTCGTTCACAACTTATATAGGATGATAAGTAACTAATTATATGTGATTGAAGAAGTACCTAACTGGGAGGCAATTAATTCTTGAATGCCCAACAATTCTCATGCTTTGAACCATTTTCTAGTATTCACCTCTCGGTATTTCTGGACTAGGAAATTGGTCCACAATATATCAAGTTGGTATGCATTCAGACTTAGTAACATTCCTTGGAATCTTTCAGGAAAGCTGAAGATTTTAAATTTTTGTTTCTCTTAACGTTGCACTGAGGATTGCTGAAAATTTTGGATGTAGACTATACTTCTGAGTCCTTGTCTTGCCAAATTTGCGTACTTTATGACATGATTGGATGTAGTTATGGTTTTGAGTCATTTTGACTCCGAATGATATATCAAGGGCTCATGTAATCTTTTCTCAAAGTTTTGATGGAGATTAGTAATTTCATTGTAAATTCTCATGTTGTTTTTTGTGATTTTGGTTTCATTTCAACTAGTTCCAATATGGAGACTCAAAGCGAGAGCCAAGATAATGAACCAATTAATCTTGATCAAGATTTGGACCAAGCTGAATCAAGCTTTGATGATAACACTGGTAAGAAGAGGAAAAAAACCTCGGTTGTCTGGCAGCATTTTAAGGAAAAGATGTTTTGTGGGGGGGGGGTGAAAGCTGTCTGTAACCATTGTCAGACTAGTCTAGCATCGGGCTCCACTATTGGTACTTCATCTTTACATTCACATGTTAATACATGTCCTGTTTTGACAACAAAGAAAAAGAGTCCAGGTATAACTGGTGATGGGTCTGTTAAACATGGTGCATATAGTTTTGATGAAGATAACGCTAGGAAAGAGCTAGCTTATATGATTATCTTACATGAGTATCCTTTATCTATAGTGGACCATTTGGGTTTTAAGAGGTTTTGCAATTCATTGCAACCCTGATTCAAGGTTCTTTCTAGAAGTACTATTAAGAGGGATATTATGAAGGTGTTTGGATGTGAAAAGGGAGTGACCATTAAGTTGTTGCAAATGAACAAGAGTAAAATTGCAATCACGACTGACATGTGGACTGCGAGTAATCAGAAGAGAGGGTTTATGGCTATCACTTCTCATTTTATTGATGCTTCGTGGACGCTACAAAGTCGAATTTTGAGGTAATTTATTAACCAATTATAATATAGTTCAATGGCTAATTTAATAAGTGTGTTAGGTTTTGTTATTTAGGTTATTTGAGTTCTTTCAGTCTGCAATGACTTATAATCTGAATTAGCATATACTGTAAGTCTGTAAGTTTCTGAGTTATGGTATATAGTGTAAGTTTGTAAGGTTCTATTTAAGTTGATTTGATCTTCATCTGCTGTTGGATACTTTGATATTTTATCTATTCAAGTTTGTTGATCGCCTTTGATATTTCATAACTCATAACCTTACAGACTTACAGACTTTCAGTGTGCATAAACACGAATGATACATCATGTTCCTCTGAGTTATGGTAATGGGGTATTGTTTTATATCAGGTTTGCATATGTTCCATGCCCGCATAATGTCGAGACACTTTCTGCTATAATGATAGATTGCTTATCGGAGTGGAATATTGATGGTAAGCTTTACTTTGTAATCATACGGATGTTATAATTGAATACTTGCTCGGGTATGGAAGAAAAATATGTCGAAAATACATGAATTTTCTTTCCAATATGCTTGCTCAAGTAATGAGAGGTATTTTGTTAGTAAAAAATCAATTATTAGCAAATATATTATATTACCTTGATTGATTAAAACTATCGTTCGTCTTTATTATTTTAATTATTGGAGTTGTATACGGTTACGTTAAAAAAATATGTAAATAGGCGCAAAAAAGGGTAAATGGGTTAAAAAATAGATAAATGGGTAAACGGGTATGGATAAATGGGTATACGGTTATGGTTAAATAGGTACGCGGTTATGGGTATGGTTAACCATTTATAAATGGTTATGGGTATGGATATAACCGTTTAGGCAATTAGCCAATGGGTAAACGGTTATGCGGGTATGAGTATAAACGGTTATGGATAAATAACCGTGGTTACCCACCCGCCATAACCATTGCCCATCCGTAGTGTCGTTTGCACCGTGAACACAGATTCTTAGGTAAAACGAACGGAATATATCCCCTTTATATACACAAGATAAGAGATACATATACAAAAAGATATATTGCCGGTTACACAACAAAGTATCTCGTCTACACTGGAGAGTCAGGGTTCAAATTCTCCTATTTTGAAGGCCATGGAGGGCAAAGGAAGTGCATTTCCAAGATCCAATCAATTAGATACAATGGAATTTACTAACAAAAAAATTCAGCTGAAAAATACACAGAAAAAACTAATAAACTTGCTAAACTTGCTCTGCCCTTGTTGCTTACCCGACGACCCCCTCCTTCCCTTCTCTCCTCGCTCAGCTCAAAGTACCTCTACCCCCATGCCTCGATCAGCACTGCCTTCGCCCCCTCGCTCCAGCAATCTTCCCTTCCTCCACTGCTGCTCTGCCCTTGTTGCTTCCCCAACGACGGGAGAGCTAGGGTTAAGGTTTTGTTCTGAGTCGAAGTCGGTCCGATTCAACCGTTCTGCCTTTGTGACGCCGGAGATCAGCTTCCTCCAGACGCCGGTGATAGGATCTCGTCGTCTTTTTCCATCGATGCAACTACTATCCCGTGCCGATCTGGATTGAGAGCAAGGATTATGGTGGGTGCTACCATGCGTCGGAAGAGAGGAGAAAAGGGAGGGAGGGGTCCGGGTTGAGGTAGGGAACGGAGCCCAAATTTAAAAAAAAAAAAAAATATTTATGTGGGTCCTATGACACGTGGCACCAGTCACTGTCCAGTGTTACGTTACCACTTAACAGTTGATTTAATAGCAAACTTAACCGATGTATGAAACTGTCACAAAATTATGACTTTATGCACCATTCTGGGATGAAAAAAACATGTATTAAATGTTGAAAACTAAGAAACTTCATAGTATTAAACTGAGATTAATCCCATATATAAACCTACAAAATTTCAAATCGAAAAAATTGGTTTTCTGAACTGATAATTATGTACATTTCAATCTGATGAGAGTCTGATCAACTCAAATTAGTGGGGTGAAACTGAAGAATGCAGTTGATAGTCTGCATGCATGAAACTCTCGTACGACGTCCCTCTGAGTACTTTCTCCACATCTTCCCAGTTCTCGACTTGTTTCGACAATGGCGTCGTATGTATCTTAACCTGACGGCTCCTGAGCTCCCTGTGTGGCAACCTTAGGAAATCTTGAACCTCATCAAGTTTCTGCAAAACCAAATTTGTGGTTCATAAGATGTCGAATAATAAAGAATTTGTTAGAACTACTTATAAATCATTATATGATAAACGGAAACTGTTATTTGCTCTCTAAAGATGTCATCTCGCACTTTCTTATGTGCAAATCTTTCATTTGTTTGATAAAAGACGAGTGCATAATGATTTTTTCGGACTGACTTACTGTACGGTTGTTGATAACCTCCTCGTAGTAAATAACAACATGGCGAGTAGTCTTGAAATATTCTATGGCTTTGGCAGCTTCCGCCTCATCTTGTTTAAGATCGGGAATTAGCAATGTGGCATTAATATTGGGCTTGTACTTTGCAAGTATTTGAGCCTGCAATTAATTTCATAAACTGTTACAACAATCCCTTTTATACAAGCAATAGAGAGTCTGGAAATCGAACACAGAATTTTTGTTTTTTGTATTATTTTTTGGTCAAATGATAGATTTGTTAGATTAGATATTAGATTAGGAAACCGACGGGTTCGAACCTAGAATTTCAATATAGGGGTCTAATTTAACTGTTACAAATTTATCTTTTAATTATACAAGCGATAGTGAGAATAAGAAGTCGAACATAGAATCTCAATGCAACAACAACAACAACAACAAAGCCTTTTCCCACTAAGTGGGGTCAGCTACTAGAATCTCAATGCAGGGTTAGAAATTTTAAACGCTTTGAGTTATAAGACGAGAGATTTTTATTACCTCCGATGGAGAATGGGTATGTGACTTGTGAGTGCCATTGAGTTGCTTAGCATATTTATCATATGAATTTGCAAGTACAGAAATCTTTCTGCGGAGCAAGTTTTTTCTGAAGAGGAATATTGCAGACACTCCTTTTTCCTCGAAGTACTTCACTATCTCTTGGTGATTCTCCATCAAACCCTGCACCATTACCATTTACATATTTAATTAATTAACCACATTAATCATCTTGAACTCCTGATTAATCAATTAAACATTTTAACGACTAACCTGGTTAAGCATCCACTTGAATCCAACGGCAGCTGAACACTCATTCTTGGAGGCGCTACTAAACCAGTCGAGATTATATACTTTATCCATGTTCTTCAAAATCGAAGAAACATTAACCCTCCGTTCTTGAACCGAAAATATCTCCCCATTTGAGCTTACATTAATGTGACTATTCAACAATGTTTCAAACCATCCACTCCCAGATCTTTGCATTGACAATATGGCAAAGTAGCGGACGGGATTGCAGACGCATTCCCTCCTGAGAGTGCGAAAATCACTTCCCGTTAATCAAACTAAAAAACCATGCATGCATATATAAAATAAATTTGATTAACAAAATGGAATCTTGACTTGGCAGGTACCTTTTGAAGGTTTGAGGTTTAGGGTAATGCAGATAGCTGATTTCCGATTGCTCAAGATCATCGGGAACTTGGCACGGTTGATTAATTTTGTCGCGGTGATTAATCGCTACGATGTTCAATAATTTGGTCTTAGTCTGAGTGTTTATTTGCTTCAAACAGACTAAGCAAATAAAAACTCCACAAACCATTGCAAAAAGCAGCACCACCATCCTCAGTATTAATGGAGATTTCTTGGGAGCTTTAGTGACAATTGTATCCTGCAATTAAAAGTAGCCCGAAACGGATGAAGCTTAAAAGTTAGAATGTACATTAGTTGAAGAAATTAAGAGTGACAGAAAGAGCTGAGCATACTGTGGCTTCCATCTAAGATCCTCCATTAAAGAAGAAAAATAACAGAAGAACAAAAAGCTGCTTAAATAGGATTTTGCTGTTTTTATTTTTATTTATTATTTTTTCTGATTGGAACATATTGAGAAAAAGAAGGCGAATGAAGTGGTCAGAGCTTGAAAAAATCAGATCGAATTATTACTAAAGCACAATCAGGTTATACAGTACTTGCACTAACTAAGGTGATCAAAACAACAAAAAGAATAACTAAAATCAAAATGGTTATGGAACGAGCGCTAAATTACCGAAAACCAACCTTATCGAATAAACAGATTTCTTCATCGTCCATTCTGTGAGCAGAAGAAAGATAAATCGGCATTTCTTCGTCTTCGTCTTCGTCGTCGTCTTCTCCCTTCCCTCCTACACTGTGTTTTTGTTACAACTTTACGAGTGAGTTGGGAGTCAGGATTGAGGTGGTGGTCAGAGAAGAACAGAAAGAGAGCAGTGGCTGTTACGTTATGTCCTGGTTTTAATTAAGCTGCTGCTCCTCCTCGTGAAAAATGATACCATTTCTTCTCCTTCTTTGTCTTCTAAGCAAGTTTTACTGTTTTAGATTCTGTATGTATTTTATTATAGTGTGTCAGTATAATATTAAGTTATATATTGTTAGAGAAGTGTTATTGGCACTTCAAAAGTTTTATTCTACATTCCTCATAAGTGTATTTTTCTTTCGTAATATATAAAGTTTGGAATATAAAATGAGATTTTTGAATTGCTAATAACAATTCCTTATTATTAAATGTGAATTTAAGTTGAAGGACAAATGTTAAAAAATTAAAAAGGAAATACAAAAGAGACATGAAATCAGATACAGCTGACTCACACTGAATTTATTACTTGGATTTAGACTTTGTAATTTCATTAGATAATTTCTCTGAAATTAAATGCTGCCTAGGGTTTTGGACAGACTGAATTTAGAAACGTTGCCTAGGGCAATATGGAGAGAATAAATAAAATGATATAAACTTTTTTTTAAATCAATTTAATTCTTAATTTTTCATGTATTGAATTACAAATACAAAGTATAACAAGAAATTTATATAACTCGTTAATTTTGATATGTTTGCAAACACAAAGAGAAGTCATAAATTAGAAATGCTCATTTTTATGTGTTAGTAAACACATAAAAGTCGGGAATTGAAATGATTCTAATATCCAAACGATTATTGACTTCATGGATAGAAATCAAAACTAGGTTCAATTACTATAACAAAATAATTTATAGAAAATTTTCAACTATTTACGAGTAAAATTTTCAAAAGAAAAATATTACTTTGATAATAATACCATTATAATTTCTTAAAAATATTATTTGCTATATATTTGGTTGAGACTTGAAGCCATTGCTGGAAGTTCCAGAAGCACAGAACTCAAGTCTTAGAAGTGAGCTGCCATAACCAAACCATAAGCCACGTAAGGACAGGAAGCCTCTAATCGATATGTACAACTTGCTACTAGAACTTGACCACAAATTATTAATGTTTAGGCCAAAAGTTTACTACGTCTTATGATCAGCGATCCAGTATAAGAAGCATTCATCAGTCAGTATTTAAATATTATCTCTAAATTAACAAGAGTTTTTCGATTGTCGGTTTGCGTTTTTTGGGACGCAAATTTGTCGACCAGTTGCATTGTTGATCGTGGCATGTGTGGCTCATGAATTTTTGAACCCATTTGCTACTTAATTATTACAATTAATGCAAATGTTATATGATAATGTATGTTTTTCGTTGAGAGGGGACAGGAGGTCAAAGAAGCAGGGGATTCATATTATTTGATAAGCTGGCCTCCCACGTTGCACCGCTTCTTTTACGAAGGCTTTCAATTTCACTGTTACGTATCATATGTCAATAATGTATTATCAATTAAAAACGCTAGATATTGTAAAAGGATTGTGATATTCATAACCTCTTTTTACTTCTCATATATTTTTTTAACTTTCAGTCGTCGGGAACCAGATGAATTAAAGAAGATTAAAAGATAGATTTTAACAAAAAATGTCCGAGAAGTTAAAAAAAATGTGTGAATAGCACACCCGATTATAAAATAAATCTCTCATTTTTTGTTGGATTATCATACTAATTAGTCTAATTTATATTGGGAGAGGATCCTCTCCGGACCCAATCCCATCGGATCCTCCTTCTTCTTCATTTTTCTCTGCATTTTTTCTTCTACTTCCTCATCTCCTTCAGTTCTTCTTCTTCAATAATCAGTTCTTCTTCAATTCTGAATCTTCTTCTTCACCCTTTTTGGTTGTTTATGGGAATCTTTAGAACGGGAAGTCGTCTTATGATGTTGTCAACAACTAGCTCTGGGAAGGTCACGAAGCTGACTCCATCCAACGCTGACTCAGGGGAAGCACAACGCCGACTCCGGGAAAGCCACAACTCCGACTCGGTCCTTAAAGAAGAAGGATCCGGTGGGATTGGGTCCGGAGAGGAACCTCTCCCCCATTACTAGAATATAGGCTATCATCGGTGAAGCAAAAACCTACAACAAATCCAATTTCTGTCGGAAATTTGGCAAAAATCCGACATAAAACAATGTAATGTCGGATTGGAATAGCGACACCAATGCTAGCGTCACAAAAGGGCTTCAATGTTGATTTGTCCGCTTAATCCGCCACGAAGCAGATGTGTACTTCTACATGACGTCAGTTTAAAGTGATGTGTACTAGCAATTAAACTGTAAAATATCCAACCCACTGTTGGTTTTAACCAACATCGTGATAAAATTAAACAAATAAAATATCCCTTAATCGACATCAGATAACAATTAAATAAATACAATATGCAAACTAGTAACGTTCTTAACCGACACCATCTTTGTTAATAATAATATAAATACATAAAGATCTGTCTCTGCATTCGTTTTCAATTAATTGTTACTAAAAACAATTATATAAACATAATAATAAATTTCATGTATAGGCCAAAACAAACATTAATAAAATTAATTAACAAGAAAAATAGTGCCAAAATGTACAATCCATACAAATTCTTGCCGCACTCTTGCAAAAGATTTTGAACCAGTTGTATGGTTCATTGTTTTCAACAACTGATTAATCTTATTTTTTTCAGGAATCTCCTGAAAAATAAAGGAATTTATTAGGCAAATTTAAAGTTATAACGAAATAAATCATATACCGATTACCCTTGTTTTTTCTCTATTCCATTATGCCACCAACTCAACCCACTATGTAGGATTCACATTAGGAGGAGGGTGGCTGCAACCTCGGCTGCTCTCTTAGTATAATACTTTTTTTTAACTTATTTCTATACTCTTTGTGCGCATGCTCCGCAACCTGAAGCGTCATATGGCAGATCATAGGCATTTTTATTATATCTGCATCTTCAAAAAAAATATTTCCCTACATCCATAAAAAAAAAATCAAGCTAATTATTTATTATTACAATCAAGCTATAAAAAAAATAAAAAATCTATACCTTATTCTATTTCAGAAAATTTCCTTATCTTCTTCCTTAATCTTACACCAATCCCTTGTTAACGAGAGATTTATGTGATCTCTAACCTCTGCTACTACATATTTTGAAAAAGCACTAGAATTATTACTAATGCATTTTTCGGACGAATCATACAAACAAAGTTGTTTTGTCCATTTGGGAATTGAGGGTCCGCGCCTTTGTTTAGATGTTCCTTATTAATAAAAAAACAATTAAAAACCAGGAAACAAATGTAAATTTTCAGTTTAAGCATAATACTAGTTTAAACACGAAACAAAAACTGAAATTAATAATAATTAAAAAAAGAACCAGCTTTTAACTCTTCCTCTTCCAAATGAAGTTCCCAGAACATTGATCTTCACTTTGTTGATCCATAGCAAAAGTTAGTGGAAGGAGAAGGAGTAAGGCTGAAATGGGGGAAGGAGTAAGGCTGAAATGGGAGAAGGAGAGGGAGTAAGGATGCACGGAGCAAAACCGAAGAAGTAAACGAGAGAAAGGGAAATGAAAGCACGAAAGTAATGGGAAAGAAGGGTGTTTAAATATGGATAAAAAGTTAGCGTCGGTTAAGACCGACAGTTGCTGCAAGTGGCATCGAAATAGGAAAAAATTGCGTCGGATAAAACAGACGTTTGCCTGACAGATTTGAATGGTGTCGAAATAAGAAATGTTTGCGTCGGTTGAAACTGACGTGTGCTTGACAGACTTGACAGTCATTGCAGGTTGCCTTGAAATAGGAAAAGTTTGCGTCGGTTCAAATCGACGTGAGCTTGACAGACTTCACAGTCACTGCAGGTAGCGTCCAAAATAGGGAAATTTTGTGTCGATTCAAACTGACGTATGTCTGAGCGACATGTTAGTGAATCAGTGATTGGATGTGGTGTCGAAATAAGAAAACTTTGGGCGTGCAAAAAAAGTGGGAAAATTCCCACCCAAAATATTTCAATTTAATCGACGCAGATGACATATGCCATCGGCTAAAAGCGACAGGAAACAAGCATAAAAAAATTAAAAAATAAAAAATGAAAAAAATAAAAAGTTTAACACAAAGTTAAAAAATAAGCTGTTATGTTATCTCATATAATATTTTAATAAATAAAATTTAACTTATATATAATACTTAATAAAAACAGAAATATAATTTTGTGATAAGATATCATCACACACGAATTGAAACATAGTCTAATTAATACATAAAATAATTAATATATTTAATCTCTGTCATCATCTGTTAGCTCGTCGTCGGCATTGGCATGATTAACGAACTCGGTAGGCAACGGCAATGATTCAAGAAAATGAGTCTCTTCCACGCCAACCCTTGTATGGAAATTTTCATTATCAAGAATTTGATCATCCAAATTATGTATGGCATAATTATCAATTGCATCACTATCCTCTAATACGTCAAACAAATCCCTACGCTGGGTTCGAACAAGTATGTGCCAATCTTTTTCAATTGTGTCCTCCACGTAAAATACTTGTAATGCTTGTGATGCTAATATGAAAGGATCCTCTTTAAATCCCAATTGATTGAAATTCACCATAGTAAATTCATATTGATCGGTATTCATGCCTCGTGGACTTTCACTATTAACCCATTCGCACTTAAATAACATCACATCTCAACCCCTATCTGCGGTCTTAGTAGGACCACAATATTTAACCTCGAACATATCTACAACTTTGCCATAATAATTCACTTGCCCAATTGCACCAGGAACATTTGCAGGTACAAAGACACCACAATTTTGATTCTTATGCTTATCATCCATACATTTTATACGATGAACAATGCGACTTTTATATCTACTCACAACCATACTAGGATAATTAGCTAGCCAATGCAAGTATTGAGATATCAACGTGTCATTAGCATGACATCTTGAATTCATCTGTAATAAGTATGAAGATAAAATTTGACAGAATAATTATAAACATGTTATAATTAAAATGCAAAACAATAAATAAATAATGTGATTGTTATATCAACTCACATGTTGCTTGAACCATTTTGGAAATTCTTTCTTGCTTAGCTCCTTAGTTTGTCGCATAGTTAACCT